CAACTAATCGTGATTGTGAAGAAGTAAGATTCTTTATAAAAATAATAATTTTTAGGTGTTGTTATTAAAGATTTTGTTATGTGAGCTTCTTATTTGGAGGTAAAAACAAAATAATTACGTTAGCTATCTATAATATTTGCATGAATCCCAAGAAAGATACATCAAATCCTATTGTAATTATCATAGTACGCAGAAAATAGTATGATTAAAATTATTTATCAGCCCAAATCATAGTATGAATCATACGATGAATAAATGCGAGTTCAGGTAAATACTAGTAACGCCATCTCTTAGCGTTTTCACGAAACCTTCACGGGTGTAAAGTGGAATTCGGTTCATTTTTAAAGAAAATAAAAGGGTGTCACGAAACATAAGAATTTGATGTATTTTTTTCATAATTAGAAACAATTTTAGTTCGTCATTAGCCTGCGTTATTTTCTCCTGGCATTCTTGGCACAGTTACCTAATGGATGCATAATGAATTTTCATTTTGACAATTTTTATTTTAAAAGTATGTTGTTGACTTTAATACGTTACCAAAATAAAAGTTCGACCGAGTTACATGGGTGGATGAACTTTTTGACATTTTTCAACGTGGCATTTTAGTAAATGTGTATAATGTCTGATGACCTTTGTTTTATTAACCTTTACCGAAAATATACGCCTACACATAAATGAATAGCGTGAAAACTAAACTACTGTGAGGAAGGAAAAGCCAACAATGGTTTTACATTTTAGAATGTATAAGGAATTATAGTAGGTACTCATTTATTTTGATTTTATTGTAGTTATAAGAATTATTATGACTTCAAAAATAATAATTCTTAAAACTAACAAACGGTTAACGAATATAAAATATCGAACTCCTAATCGAGATCTGATAAGCTACAAAATCAGGTTTCCAACAAGAGTCACTTCGGTAATTGTGGTAGTAACAGAACTGGGATTCGTTTTTGTTCATACGAATATGGATGTGGACATTTAATAAATTAATGAAATTAAATCGTATTAACTATTTATTCTCTATTTAACAGTGGTTAGCGCAGTTGTCTGCGATTCGGTCGTTAAGCAACATTCGCAATGGCCGGTTATAGGATGGGTGACCAAAAATTTATGATATCAAGCTTCTCCGTTCTTCGAAAGGCACGTTAAGCCGTTGGTCCCGGCAGTATCTGCAGTCGTTAAACCCACCAAGCTACACTGGTTACCCTTGGTCGATCATGGCCCATTCTCTCTTCTCTGTTTTCATTCGATTACATCCATAGGAAAGGTCTGTGCACCCGTATGGGGACATTAATAAGCTGGTGATTGATGATGATAATGAACTTTTTTTTTATTAGGCAACTGTAGTCTTTTTCTAATATCTGAGAAATCTATCACATAAATTTTCTGCAAATATTATATTTTTGCGCGACAACGAATATTATGAGTTATAAAACTGAAAATTTTGCTCTTAGCATTATACGTATGATATTATTTGTGTTCTAGATTTGTTTTTCAATAGTTACTTTATTTCATAATTCACCTAAGTGTTGATGATACAAATAAAGAAATTATCTAACGTCTCGTTGCCCAACCTTAAGATTCCGTCTCGTTGTCTTGGCCTTTTTGCGCAGTTTTGAAGTCGTTTAATTAAAATAAATACAGTAATAGACATCTAGGCAGCTCGCTACCAGACAGGTATCATTTTTTTACGGATTCATACCACGGTGGATAATTAGTGGTGTCGACATGGACCGCAGCCCACGGCTAGACTTTGCGGTATTGGTCGCTGTATTTCGTTATAAGTTTTAACCGCTATAACATAAATATTTTATATCACTGAGATAAATTAGTAAGCTGTGCGTCTACTTAGACCAAATTAAATTAAATAGATTTCCTGATGCAGGCGTATTAAAACGTATTATTATAATGAAAATATTATGGAATACACATTAATGAAGAATAATAGTAGACCGATAATTATGAATCTTTATTGTTTAAATGGGTTTAGCCGATTAATTAAATCATAAGTATTTTAAACCTCATTAGTAAATGTTTTTTAAAACACAGTCTTCGATTAAAACACGGACCAAAAAATACGTTTGTATTACGGGGTAATAAATATTTATTTTATTATGTTTTTACTATTTGTTGTTATAGCGGCACCAAAAATATATCTTTATGTGAAAATTTCTACTGCCTAGAGCTCAAATTACTGGACAGTTCGAACTGAAATAGTTATTATGATGTAGATGTTCGCTATGAAGGATGTTGAAAAATCCAACCCCTAAGGCGGTAATATAGAGGTTTTAAAATCGTGTAATCTACGAGAGCGGCTAAAGATTTTTAAAAAACTTTATTTGAAGTAGGACAGTTAGAAGTGTGGCCAGCTAATCGTAGCTCAAAGTCAAAGGAGTATAATTCGATATTTTAAAGTCTGTTTTAGATTTTATAGTTAGCAGTTTTACATGTGTTAGTTTTATTAGGTACCATATGCTGCGTCTGAAGATTGGACACATGTGAGATGTAGTTAACGAAAGTATAGCTTTTGGCTCACTGTCAATTTATTTTATCTGGAGAACATCTGTTTATTTACTCGGCTAGTTTAGTAATAATGAAATTGATTGATTACTATATAAAATTAAACTAAACATTTTTTTATGAGATAGTGAATGTGGATTGTAGATTGGAGCCGCAAGAACATTCAGTTTATAGTTTTTGTTAAGATTGTTTAATATAAGGGTAATTTTCTGTTATTATGCATATTGTCGGGCCCTATGTAGTCTAGCAATACGTTCTGTTACAAAGAAAATATCCGATCATTTCTAAAAAAAAAAAATATTTTAAAGTTTTATAGGTATGCGATTATGTAGAGTGAAAAAGATATGTCAACGTACTAAACTAGTTTTCAGTTTAACGCACGCTTTTAAACATCGATGGATTTACGAACGATTTCCATTGGAAACTTGCCTCCAAAGATTTCTTGAGCGACTCAATATTTGGGTGACGCTTAGAGCAGATCATGTCCTCTATCTAGCACAAATCACAATTTTTAGTCCAAAGGGTTTAAGTCCGACTAGCCGAAGGCCAATCATCAGCCTTTATGAAGTCAGGAACATTTTGCTCAAGCCAAATTTGGGTAGTGCCCGCACTACGACCAGAGCCTGAATCCTGTTCGAATGTCTACACCTCGTTTTTGAATAAGGTGTTGTTAAGAGGTTTAACTATCGCTTCTAACACGGTATTTTGATACACTTTGGTTAACTGTTTTTCACTCTTTTTTCACAAAAATGGAGTTTTGTAACCCCTTGGTAGGAGATATTCCACCAAACCATGACGTAAACTAAATGATGGCCTCGCTGAACTTTGGCCACTACCTCGGAAGCTTCTTTAGAGCTGTGCATACACTCGATCATTTTGTTTGTTGTAGTGCTCCTCGATTGTAAAATTTTTTTCATCGGTAAAGAATTTTTTTCTGTTTTCGGCCGCGTATCGAAGTAACAGCTGTTTTGATCTTTCCTAGTGTGTACAAACATTCGGCTAATCCGCTAGGGATTTTTCAGAATATCAAAAATGTCGGCTGGCTCCTTACGTACTTTGTACAATGCAATTACGGCAATCCTATTCTCTTTAGTGCCCCACTCCACATTCAAAACAAATAATTTCTAAACAAAAAAAGCGGCGGGAAAGAGGTCTATTTTAATGTTCGAAATTCAAATTAATGCTTTTTTAAATGTATGTAAACAGCCTGTAACATAATTTATGGCGACTAGGTATGTGTTGCATAATATGAGTTTTTTTTTATCTACGTGATAATAATGTTGTTTACTTTGTGATGCACTGTATACTACCCATCAATTATTTCAGTCAAACCAGTCCGGTTAACGTACGGTTGCCTGGAAGAAATGGGATTTTAGCGATAAGGCCGCCGATTATATTATAATTGTATGCTTGTATTCATGTTTTTCTTTGTGGTGTACAATAAAGTGTTTATTCATTCATTAATTCATTATATACCAGTTTTATTATCAATGAATTTGAATGATACGGCATATTGATCGATTAACGAAAAAATTATATATTTTTGTAATCTTCTATATAATGGAAAGTGACTTCATATTCTAATGAAGTCAATTTTTAATTTTAATTTGAGATTTCTGTATGATATAAAACAGGGAGAAAAAAGCAGTCCTTCCTGAGTGTCTTGCTGGTTCTTCTCCGTACAAGGTCTCCCGCCGTAGATTTGCGAACCGATGGCATAGCTTTCGACATTCACAAATGCTTATAACAGGCTGGACTGAAATGCCACAGGCTAGACTAAATAAATAATATTGAATTTTTAAAAGACAGTCGTAAGATTGACGCTCTGGCAATGTGGAAATATGTGCTCAGAATCCCAGGAATACTGACCGTATTAATACGAGTATTTTGATCTTGAAAGAATCAAATATAAAAGATAGGATTCCATCATTGATTGCAATTCGGAAACCACAAGTTCTTCGGCATCATCACCCGTGATATCTACGGAACAGTTGGTCGGTCTAAAGCGATATGTTAAAATCACGTGGATGCTCTCTCACCTCGCCAAACATCGTGTTAGATGGTGCTTGTCGCGATTCTGTGTCAAAAGTTTTGGCGTCAACATGACCACGACCATTCTGTTAGCAGGAGTGGACGACCAAGAAGATCAACTCATTCACTACATTAACTATTTGATAGCCCTTCTGTTTTTTTTTATTTGTATGTCAGAACGCGTCGAATGATGAATTCGAGATATTTTTGTCTACACTAAAATATCCTTTAAATGAATCCGATAAATAGCACTGACTCATTGTATACATTGTCCTTATTTTATCATTAAATAAAAACTTCTACAAAAATACATAATACAAATACATTAAAACATATATATAATAAGACATTTAGAAGTTAAAATAAACCTGTCGTGCAAACAGAAAAGCTATTTTCCATGCAAGTTGTATCTTAAATAAGTAAATTTTTAAAAGTTATCAGCTCACCTTTCCGTATTAGTAAGCTTGTCACTCTGCGAAGAGCTTCCCTCGGTGATTTCTGGAAGAACTTGGGGGTGAGGTTGGGGGGCAGCGTCAGGGGCTTGCGGGCCCCAGGACCCTCCCACGGAGGGGGCAGTTCTACCGTGGTCTTCGAGGTCGACAGCCTATCCAGGTGTTCGATGGAAGCAGGCCTGTGATTATGCAGGTGGTTAATAGCAGTGTCAGTATTTATTGCAAGCTTAAAAGCTCTATTTATAAACTAATTAATATATATTTGCCTACGTTTTGCAATAATTCAGTTATAATTGGTGTTATTGTGGTATTAAACATTATATTTATTTATTTATATCTAAATAAAATGTCGTGGAATATGACATCAACTTTATTCAGGTATAAATAAACTGGATGAGGTTGATGTTGTTTTATTAAATGTAATTATTTGCTAATGCAAATAATTACATTTAATAAAACAACATCAACCTCAACCTCATCCAGTTATTAAGGTTATTACTTATTAAAGTAGGTGGTAGTAAGCCATATTTAATACTTTATTGCATTGTCAAATTGATTTCATGGAATAAAATTGATAAAATATAATAAAGGTAGTCTAGTTTTTCTACATCGCACCATAGCCTACAGAGATTTTAAAATTAGTGTACTTATAGCATTTGTAGCTTCATAGTTCTTTCTAAAATGTCTGGGCATAACTTTGGATACAGTTTAAATGTACAAAATTTATAAAATTCATTACATTTATAGATAACACAGGCCTGCGAAATTATTTTTTTGAAAAGTTTTTTTCATAAACTGTTCTTATTCGTTATAATTACGTTAAAAATAAAATAAAACAGCATTTATTTGGTATATATCACGTCACATTTCCCAGATTTACATGGCATAATATTAGCATTGGCGTCTTTTTTTACAATTTTATAAGCTTTATTGAGTTTGAATGAAATAAAAAAGAGTAAAATAAAATACGAATAAAAAAAAAACAATCAATAACTGTTTTCTTTGAAAGGAACTGCGTTTAGATGGTTTTTTGATTATGAGTTTTTACTTCATCTCTACATATCATCCAACAATAGTCCGCCATCATATTAACGTCCCAACAACCTTGAAATCATGTTTCCATCTCTTTTATATCTTGATGGACTGTAATCGCCTAAATTTTTTGGGAAAACATTAATATGAGATTTCAAAAAATGGACTTTCCAACTCATATTACAACCCAAGTTTTTATAGGTGTTTAACATTTCTGTGACAATACTTTTATGATTACTCCAACCTCCAATTTTGGTCTAATACGCCAATCAGATATTTCCCAATGTAAGTTTCTTGCTCTACTATGTAAGAGAAGAGCTTTTAAACTTCTTTTTGATGAATCTATAAAAAGTCGCCACTCTTCTGCTTTGTATTCGATGTCATATTTTTGTATTAAGCCGCTAATATCACAGCAAAATACTATACTATCTTCTAAATTGAAATACAGTAAAAATCTGGTTCTCTTTTTCGATATCACTAAAATATCGTCTCCACATCCAATAAATTGTTCTCTTTTAAGCGTGAACCGACTAATTCTGCAGCATCTTTGGGTAATCTGTCTAAATAGTCGAGGTTCATTTGTAGGGTGTATAAAAAATTTATTATAAATATAATATGCCGATAAAAAAAAATGTGACGTGTTACAATAAAAAAAAGTTTATATTTGCATTATGTATGTCAACATGTGCAAGTTATCCTTAAAATTCTCAAAAAAACTTTTTCATCGCAGACCTGTGTAATTTACGTAGTATTTGTTGATCGTCTTCAGACATCTATAAATTTTCTAGGTACCCAGATTTAAACATGTTAAAAAATTGTTAAATATAAATTTTAATATATATTATGACATGTAGTAGTAAATGTAAGTAGTTACGCTTGTATAGTGATTGCCCTTTTGTATTATAACGGAGAGATAGTAGTTCTATATTATCAGAACTGCGATGCGCACTTGTAATTTACTAATGCATACTTCAGAAACTGATGTCACTATTATGTAAGTTGGTCATAATTTGCGGAAGTAAGTTATATTCGTTTATATTTATTAGCACTGTTAGAAAATATATTACATTCTGATAAACGCAAACTGCATTAAATAAAAGGTATAACGACGCAATAAAAAAGGTAAGTTTTTTAAAATAGTAAGAGTCAATGAGAGATCACAAACTTATGAAGATGGTAGATATCCGCATTTTGTTTTTCTTTTGTAATGAATCAATAAATAGGTAATACAGCTCTTAACCAACTTCTTATATCGCATCCATGCAGGGAAAACCTGTTTATTGTCATTTTTTACAAATATTAGTTAATCACACCGTTTGAGAGAAAATGTCAATCTACTGGTAACACCAATTTCGTTTATGTAAAAAAATAAAAATTTAAAAAATAATTATTATAATTATTATGTATGTAATATTAATTATAAGGTCATCATTCATCTAATAAAACCACCAATTACAATACTGGACACGGAAAAGAAATAAACGGTGTATATTAAATAATATTACACATTTCTTTTAATTCTTGTTATATTATAATAGATAAACATTTTACATTTCTATTGTTTTGTATTCACTTAATTTGTCTGACTCTATCATTAGCACGATTGCCTCTATAATTTACCAAATAAATTCTTTAGTAATAAAATCAACAGTGTTTAGTAAGGATGTGATTTACTTGTAAATGTTATCTATAATTCAAACATTCTATTTTTTTCAGGTAGGATTCAGATACGAAAAATTGACAGACAGAAAATCTAATAAAACTATTTAAAATAAGTATAATTCATATAATATGTTAAATAAAAAAAATAATTTTAAATTCTTCCGCAAAAACGCTACTTCTGTCATGGCGTCGCTATGACGTCATGGTCCTCTGAAACTAATATCGTTCTTTATATGCATAAGGTTGAATTCTCTAAGTTCTGACATGAGTGAGAGGAGCGTGACATTACGCGCTGTTTGCGGTCACGTGACAACGAGTATAAAATATTTGTTTTCTCATAATTAATATAAGCAATATTATAAAAATAATAAGCATAAATGTGTGATTATCGGTAATAGTTATTAAACACTACCAGAAAAAAAATGCCTCTGATATGACATTTTTGATTATCCCTGTTTCGTAATTTTAAATTATTGGCACGTATGAACGTCAAAAAATTTGTTTGGATTTTTCTATGAAAATAGTAAAACTAAGTGTCATTTTTTTGTGGAAAATAGTCATAACAATAATAACATAAATATTTAGATTACTCTTAACAGTTATATAAAGTTGAAATATTCAGACAGACTTCTGAATGGTTATAACAAAAAAACCTGTATTCCTATTTCGTACCCACGAATTCCCTACTTAATTTACGTAACTAGCTTTCCGCCAGCGGCTCACCCGCGTAGTCCTGTATTATATATATAAACCTTCTTCTTGAATCATGCTGTATCAATATACGAGATTTGATCAATATGAAAACCGTATTAAAATGTTTTGTGTTTAAAAATCTCAGCGTACAGACAGCGGGACGTCACTTTGGTTTATATTATGTAAAAATGGTTAACTACCTGTGTCTCTGACGAGGGTACCAGCCGCGAGGTGGTCCACCGAGCCTCAACAAGTCAGCCCCGGTGCACACTCCCGTCGCGCCCATCACTGAACCTCGACCGTAACCACCAAGGGTCACACTGCTTCCTGTTTTGAAAATATAGTTGCCTTGAGTTTGCATGAAATCTTTACGGAAATGTTCATGAAAGTCTGTTTTCTTTTTAAAACTTTTTCTTTAACAATTATTACTTTAGTATATGCATCAGTATTGCAATTCTGTAATAATAACACCCCGTCGTTTTTGCGTCGGGGGTTAAAAACAGCGTGGAACTCGACGTCAAGAACATCGCTGTCACTGCATGAAAATGAATTCTTTATTAAAATATTTTTTTTCTACTGCTCGTTCAGTCAATCATAAAACTTGTAGGTTTCATTATTATTACCTTTTGAAGTAGGCGAACACAGCGCTGTTACTTCACATAGGTTCAATAAAATATGACCTTTATTACCTTTTTAAGTAGGCTTTATTCGATTAAACCTCAATACTGTGAGTATGACCTCAATGTTGAGTACGCGGATATTTTTATTACATAGCAGGCGTTTGTAGGTTTCATAAATAAATAGGTAAATTCAACATTTGAGTGATAAAATTGTAGGATTCATTATATTAATTTAAGAGAATAAGAATATTGTCCGGGTAAAAGAACAGAAGTTCAATTTAACAAGAAATAGCTTGGATAAGAGGCATTAAAGTTGAGGAGGAGAAGAGCGAGTCCACACTAAGTAACGGCTAAGTAGATAATTTCAAAAGCGTTACGTCATGTAACATTTTAACACAATGTATCGCTTTAATTTATTATAAAATAATACGTGTTTAATGTTGTTCAATAACGATAGTGTATAGTATATTATATTGTGTAGGTAAATGTACTATTGATGTCCTTACTCAACGATTGCTTGTTTTCAACTTTAATTAATCAACGATACAATTACAATTGATATAATTTAAGGAAAATCTGTTGTTGGCTTAGCTTTATGAATTTCCTTAGTGTAATCTAGTGTTAAAGAAAAGCTGTTGGTTTTTTAATAAAATAAATAAATAAGTAAATGTAAATTATATAGACTCTCTGGCGCAGTCCAGCCGTGCGATCTGGTTCCCTCTACTTTTCCTTGTACGACTAGTAATTCTATTGAAATATTATCACGTCTAGAAACATCACGTCTAGCAAGAATACTGTAGTATGAGTGTCTGTACTATAATCGATAGAGTCTTTGTGTTGCTGAGTTCATGGTGTATGGACATGTTGGTGCGGAACTCTGTCCATGATATGCCAAGCATCGTCCTCCAGCACCACATCTCTAGAGCATCTCAAAAAAGTATATATAATGAATGAATACCTATTGATTGTATAGAGTTCATAGTATTGTTTCTCGGTGGTCCCGTGGAGTTTCTAGGCGGAGTCCTTGGTACATCGCAGCCACGTGCGAACACCGGCGTTTCTGGTAGACTAGCGGACGTCTGCAGCGGGCCGCGTCCACCTGCCGCGGCGTCGCGGTTCTGTCTCTGTAGCGTGCGTCTTCTAGCACCACTCGCACCAATATCTGAAAAAAGAAATTCCATATTCAAATTTTGCTGAGAATATATATATCGTATCATATCACAAGAAAAGGTTATATTTCATGAAAAGCTATTGAATTTAAATTGTTCAATCGCTTAGACGTCTAATGATAAGGCTATCCACTTTTGGTTATACCATAAATGTAGGGTGTCCAAAAAAGAAATAAAATTTTCTGAAATTGCTTTTTCATGATGTATACGAAAGCGTTATGATTTTGTGGTCTGAAAAAAAAGACCCCGAAATTTAATACGATCGCATCGCTACGTTACGCAATCGTCTTAAATTTATATCCTATCAGGTGACCTACAGTAGTGAATCATAAAGGAAATTTAGTTCAGTTCATATCTCAAAAACTTTTATCCAATGTATTTTTATCATTCTCTGGACTCAGATCAAAATTCTGCGATATAACCATATCCAAGTATAGATTATCCTATGCTGCTGCACCTAAGTACTACAGTCCTACAATTAACTTACTAAACTGAATCAAATAGTTCTTTTCCCTTACTTCGTCACCCTACGTTTAAATGAAAATACTACATCCTGTATTACAAAAATAATGCGACATCAGCACCGTTTACTGAGACTAATGCAACTATTTTACGATATGATCACTAATACTTGGATACATCATGAAGAAGTCATACGATCAGCTGCCCATATCGTTAAAAGCAAATCATTCATTGATCTGGCCAGGTCACATCATGATGTGGGCAGCAAGTGTTTTCCATTTCATGAAATACTCGTACGAAGATTTCATGAAATGGCCTGCCACATCATGAATTGGTCAATACTATGATCTTTATTATATATAATAAAGTATTATTAATTCGTAATAAAGTTATTATTAATTCGTGCCAAATTTCTAACTGGCTCTGAAATTGATTGTTTCGAGGGGTATGGTATTCTATGTGCATAGAGATAAAGTTCATTTTGCTATCGTACAACTATGCTAATCATATAATTAGTAATATCAACTCACCACTAAAGATTACAGTAATAGTAATTTTTAATAATCGTTTATGATTTCTACATACATATGTCATTTGTAGTGACAAGTTTTAACCCATAATGCAGAGACCTTTTATATATAAAATCTTTGATTAAACTTATATAATAATCTTTAATTAGGACTGCCTACATTTTGATCGTGAGAGTAAGACTCATGTTACTATAGGTTCCGCCAAATAATCTAAATGCCAATGATAGGCAAAATTAACATATTATAATCGTATTTTTTTTATCACATACAATTATGTATTCTTAAATATATTAGTTTCAGGTTTCAGTAGTGTAAAATAAAGTCACTATAATTAAAATTTACATACAAACATAAATATTCTGATTTTGAGTCATGAAATCGTATTATTATCTGATTAAATTAAAATAGTTTTATTTGTGTATTAAGTGACTTCTGAAATACTACCCGGTGGTGTGACGTCATGTCAACTGAAATTAGTCGTCGTACCTATTAAAAAAATATAAATTCATAGTTACTTAGTATGTAATTAATAAATAAGTATTTTCCATTTGTTGACCAATGCAAGGTATCGTGTTAGGACTAATTCTACTATAAAATTACCAATTGCGGTTTACAAGATGCGAGTAGTTGTCTCAAAGAAAATTGGTACATATTTTTTGCATATCATTTATTAATAATGTTTCGAAGTGTAGCGGCGCAGTTCGTTTACACATTACTAGATGGTGTTATGCACCAATGAATCGCGCTAACAAACTGAGGGAGAAAAGGATGGGTAGCTAGCCGTAACTTTTTGGTAATGCCTCGAATACATCGGTAGGGCCGAAGCCAAACGAGTTTTGGGTCCTAACCTAAAACATTGTAGACGTGGTATTGACCTCTTTAAATACGCAGTGGGTTAGTCGTCCCGGATAGTGTTGTAAATTTTTTGTCAAATAAATGTGGATTTTGTTGTTGAATTATTTTTGTGATTTTATTAAGTAAATAAAGTCGGATTGTGAATTTAATTGGCGTTGATTTTTATCCCGAACTCTATCACGTAACATTAATATTATTATGAATGGGAAAGTGTCTGTCTGTCTTTCTAACATGTCGAAACAATGGTATTTTTACCATGCGAGCGAATCTACTTGTTCCAAATATTATACAATGAAATACTTGCCTGTAGGTAAGGTTCTTCTATCCGTAGACCCACTTTTGAAATTACTACTACTTCTTCTGTTTTTGTTATAGCTGGTTTCCATTGACCTCGTTTTTAAGCTATTTGTTGTGTCTCGGTGTGGTGGCACAGCTGGGGGTTCCGAAGGCCTGTAATTTAAGTATTGAATTTAATTAATTTGTTATGTTCTTAAATAAAGAAGGGCAAATAACAAAACATCATCTGAGTATAAACAACCGTCACATTCTTACTTTATCATTCATTTTATATGGTATAGATATTTCTAATATTATCTACTAATATGTATCAAATATTTTAAAGATAGACTAAATACTGACCTTCTTCTGAGTTCCATTGTAGGCGTCGCTAATGTATCAGATTTCTTTCCCAGACGTTTCTCTGATGGTTGCATGATTTCTGTGTATTCATCTTCAACTTCTTGAACTGGCGATGGTGGTAGAGGAGGGAACTTTGGTGACTCAGGTGTCTGTGGTAATGGTCCCATATCGTGACCCATATTAGGCGAAGGTGGAAGTGGATGATGTCTATACGAATGCTCAACTATTTGAACGTTAAGAGGGAAATCACCGCCACTCGAAACAGCGGAGTCAGATGAAGATGGTTGCCGCATTAGATTGACAGGCACATCTTTCGCACTAGTCGATTTGTGCATACTATTTGACCTTCTCCCTGAGGACGAGCGTTCACGACGTTCTATAGATCTCTGGTTTTGTATTTCATTATGACTCGATGATTTCTGTATATCATGTCTCTTTTGTCTTTCCCTAGAACTATAACGGAAATTGTTATCTAATATATCCTTAGATACTTCATCACAGTATTCATCCTTATGAATATTCCAGTCTTTAGGTATATAAGGGGTAAAGTGTTTTTGGTCCCGTCCTTGACTTAGTATAGCGCTAATATTGTTTTCGATTTTTCGTAATGGAGACGTTTCTCCACTGGAATCCGGTTCGCCACTCTCCTGGTCCTCTTCTTCTTCAACCGTTGTAATGAGTGCTTGTCGACTTGCACTATTACTCTCGCCATCAACACCTAAACTTGGTAACGAAACTACTCTCACCATGTTCGGAGGCACCATATTCAGTTCATTAACAGTCTCATTGCACTCTTGTTGTGGTGCTTCCTCTACTTTACCTTCTTTTATTAAAGATTGTATGTTATCAAAAGTGGAAGAATACTTTTTGAAATCTGTAAATCTATTTTGAGGAGACAGTTTGTTCTGTACAATACTATTTTTCGTAATAGCATTCTTATCACTAATTACTTTTCTACTTTTAGGACTATGACCAAAATATTCTTGTGTTATGTATCTATCTTGTCCATTATTAAGGTCCAAGCTAAGTCTGGACTTGGGCGATGTGATTTCTTTGCTCAGTCTAGAATTCGGGGTGCAAAGATCTATACTATATCTAGAATTCGGCGTGTTGAGTTCTCGACTTAATCTCGAATTTAAATCTACACTATAACGAGATTGAGGCAAACTGAGATCCGAACTGATTCTCGAGTTATATGAACCTACGGACCCTGAGCCGCTTATAGATATACTAGAGCCATCTATTGATTTATCTGTATCTAAACTTCTATTCAGACTGTGACTATGACTAAGATGGTTAGTATTTAACGGTTTATTGTTTGAAGTTTTGTTGAAACTCGGTAACTGTTTGCGGCTCTTTCCTTTCCGTATTACATATGTACCACAAGCCAAATCTTGAGCCCTTCTAGCTTCGTATTCAGCATCAGAGGTAGGTGAGGCGAGTGGTTCACATTGTGCAATAGGTGGAGGGGGAGGCCAGTAGTCATCACCCCAGTCGTCTTCCACTCTTTGTGGTATCGAACTAGTACTGGAATTTGACTGGTCGCCAGATTTTCTTCTTCGTCTACCAATTACCTGAAATTAATTAATTGGAGGACAAATTTCAAAATGGGAATATATATTATATTTGATTAATTTTGCATTCACAATGCTAGACTGAAAAAATATTCTTAATCAAAAATACAAAAAAGTTCACTTTGTTCCCCCGTTGGATGGATTGCCTGAACATTGATGAAAATACGCTCTGTAGTAGCGAAAAAGTAACAAGTGCTTGAAAAAATTGTCAATCCTGTTAGGTCCTAGGAAAGGTCATGGGTTCCAATCCCATCTCAGAGTGCCAGGTACATAGGGGATTTGTAACAAATTTTTCATTAAGAATATGGAAATATACAGTTTACCCAACATTTTTATTTTATAAAAGAAGGAAGAAATGAGGAGTTCGATGGTGCAGTGGTTAGTGCGCTCGGTCTAAGAATAAGCTTATCAAGCAAATTTCGCAATGGCTAGTCATAAAATGGGCGACTAAAAATATATTACCTCGAGCTCCTCTGTGCTTCGGAAGGAACGTTAAGCCGTTGGTCCCAGCTGTATCTGTAGTCGTTTATACTCACCAGTCATCAATGCGCCCGCGTGGGGGCTGGTGGGACATGGCCCATTCTGGAATGGAAGGCCTGGGCCCCAGCAGTAGGAATATTATTAGGCTGGCGATGATGTATTAGCTTACCTTAGTACTTCCAGGAGTAAGTAGAGGATCGTCGCCATCGAGTGACACTTCCCAAGCAATGGAATTACGTTTCGAAGGCGTTGTCGTTGTTGGGGGTGGTGGCGGTAAGGATTCCTCCAGCGAGTCATCAGAAAAATGTTCCTCGTCGTCCCCTTTAATTTTACCCTCCATCACATCCTCCGTAGATCCTCTACACACTTCTCTATGCCTCTCCATAGAACCAGCGAGAGTCCGCGGAGGTATTTTAGATTTAGGCGACAGCATGTCACCGTCCGATCGGCTGTCGCGTTTCATATTGCCCTTTTTAGTGTTAGAGGGCGAGATTTTTTGTACATTATATGTAGGTGAGTGCGATTGTTTATTGTATTGAATATTTGGTCCAGGGTATATCGTAACTGGATGTTCATTATATGGCTTATCATTAAATTCGCCCGAGAAGCCCATGAAGGGGAACACAGGAGGTTTCTCCATGCTAGGTGATATTTTCTGATTCGTAGGAGGCCGTGGTGGCAGCCATGACGGTTCTTCAGATGGAGGCGGCCGCGCGCCGTGTTGGAGAGATGCAAATCTATACGCTGTCACTGGCGGTTGTTGTAAACGGAACCCATTTGTGTCGTCGTCTTTTTCCCAGCCGTATGGTCGTTGATGCCTTGTTTTTGGCTGAAATGAAGACAAATGTATTTTAAACGTATAAAAGACTAACATTTGCCCGCGACGTCAATGTAGTAAGTAAAGTTACTTTGGGTAACATTACCAAAGAAGGTTAAAACAATCTATCTTATTATGTATGTATTTATGTCGATAAAAACATACATATAATATGTGAGCTAAGTTCAATATTATGATATATGCTTTGGTTGTTGACTTCAACAGAATGTCCTTTGTATACTAATGTCCTGATGTGTGTGAAATGTCCTTTCTTTTTTCAACTTAGGACAATATATTGAAGCCTACGATCCGACTTGGTTAGTTTTGTCTGGTATTAGTATTGTCACCCACAAAAAAATTACCTATGTCAATGTATAGCGAAAGAACGGCTCATTGTGCTAGCAACAAATTAACCATTGGTTAACTTTGGATATGGTTTAATATGACAACAAAAAACAAAATAGCTGGTTAACAAATTGTTAATTTTTTAATATAATAAATTTATAGGCCTGATGCGCTACCGCGCGTGTAGATTTAAAAAGGCAAATTTTTATTATGTTTTGTTTTTCTGGACTGTTAGATTATAAACTAAAATTCTAATTCTATATTAATGTATATAATATAGAACAGTAATATTATTTAACTAGGTCGGTTTTGTGAATCGTATTTACTCAGTGAAGTTCTGGAAAACAGTAATTCATAAACTTACGAAAGTGGTTTGCGTTGCTGTTGTAATTCCATTAACACTTATTATTGAGTCTAACTTCTCTTCTGCGGTCCTTTGTTCGAATGATGTTGTTCGTTTTGCAGAATTCGCCGGAGACACTCTGAAAATAATGACAAACTATATTCTTAATTGAATATTAGGCAAAATTGCAAAGATCATTGTTTGAGTGTTAATATTATGAACCCTATTACATATATTACGGGATTACTAATGATCCTTTGAGATAAGCATACTCAGACACCTCGTTAACTCAATGCGGGCGAGTTCTATTTACTTAGGCATCTTCAAAGAATGTACTTACAATACGTTTTGCTGCTCCATGACGGAAATTGTAATACAAATCAGTAATTTAATTGTTTAGGGTAGTTAAAACATTTGTATGATATATTTATAGAAAATAATTAATTATTAAAATATAAACGCCTTTTGACATAGGCTACGAAAGCTTGTTTTTATTTTAATGTAATACTCTCACTAGAAGCGAAAAGTAACAAGTGCTTGAAAAAGTTGTCCTATTAGGTCCCGGGTAGCTCAGTGCTTAGAGCACTCACCCGGATTACGAAAGGTCGTGGGTTCGAGTCCCATCCCAGAGTACCTGGGGCGAGAGGATTTTTTAAGCATTTTTTATTAAAAATATTTTTCAATATAGCAATGCAATATTAATCAAATATAATATACAACTATATTTTATAGTCATTCATTTTATATTCTATAGTCAAATGTTAATATTATTAAAAAATAATTTACATGGAAATATAACTGATTTCGGAACCGCTGTTTTTATTAAATAATTTCTAAATATAAATTTGCAAAATATGTGACACTAGGGAGGAGGGAGGGGGCCTTACAAATGTGACCAGCTTTGACAAGACTGGGGGTCTTGTCAAAGCTTGTTCGCGAGGGGCAAAATATCATGAAATTCGTGTGACGTAATGTACGTATAAACCCTAAGTATACTTGTATACGTACTTAGGTAAGAGTGTAGAAATGATACGTTGTGCTTCCTCTGGCGGCGGAGGCGAGTGAGGCGACGGCGGGTCCGGAGGTGAGGGCTCCTCGTGTTCCTCCGTGGGACGGAAGCCCAGTGCGAACTTCGCTCTGTAATCATTACCGTTTTGTCTATTAATTTACTGATATTTGTAATGAAATATTATCAATTTTGAGTGGTTCTGTACCAAAAGGCTAAAACGGAAGCGCTATTACTATAATTTCGCTGTCTGTCTATCCGTCTGTCACCAGGCTGTATCTCATGATCCGTGAAAGATAGACAGTTGAAATTTTCACTGATGATGTATTGCTGTTGCCGCTTCAACAACAAATATTAAAAGCCAGAAGAAATAAATATTTAAGAGGGCTCTCATACAACAAACGACTAGCACTTGGCCGGTTTTTTATATAAATGTTGCTGTGAAACATACAAACATGCTACACACTAAAGTAATATTTTGTCTATTTTAATCTTCGTCTAGCTAGGGCCTAATCTAGGAACTAAGAAGTAGCCTACAAAACGATGCGACGAGAGAAAAAACATAAAGACATGCTTTTCTCGAGATATTTTTGTTTACAAAACCTAATATTGTAACTAGTGTGTTCATAAGTTTTGATAAAAACTTTACTGAAGAAATAAAATAAAAGGATACTGGCTGTTATTTATTTTTTACCAATTTTGAATATTAACTTTTAGTTTATTTGCATTGCATTCATTTGTTTATATTTTATCGTGATGGAGGGAACAAAACGATTACGTGCAACTGTCATTTCGCTATTTAAGGCGGAAAAAAAACCGATGCAGATTTTCCGAGCGAGCTAAAGTTTTCCTGTAAGCCATAACTTCGTCTATTACATAATACAGCGCTACAAAGAGACAACTTCTCTGCAAGATCGCCAAAGGAGTGGTCGACCACGCTCTGTGAGGATGCCTGCGAACATCAAGAGACTTCGCCGAAATCCATATCGCAATCAGAAGAAATTCGCTCTACAGACTAATATTTCGCGCGTTTTAGTGAACAGAATACTGAAATATGATCTTAAGGCAAAGGCCTAGCCGTAGAAAAGTTCACTTTTGAAACGATCGACTTCGCAATGGACAACGTTGTTTGCTACTGAGAAGGTCATCTTGTCTATAATGCCAGGAAGATACTCTTCACCGATGAGAAAATTTTTACTGTCGAAGAAAAGTTCAACCGACAAAACAATAAAGTGTACACTCAAAGTAGCAATAAAGTCCCAGCTTCTGCACGGAATATCTCGCGGAATCATATGAAGGTGTCAGTCACTCCATTTTATTTTTGTCAATAAGGTGTCAAGGTGAAAGCCAAGAATTATCAGAGTGACATTTTAAAGCCCGTGGTGAAACCTCTGTCTGATATGTTATTTCACAATAAGGATTAGGTTTTTGAGCAAGGCTCGGCGCCATCTCATAAGGCAAAAAGCACCCATGCTTGGTTGAGCGAGAATGTGCCGACCTTCATCGTGGCGGACGAGTGGCCCTCCTCCAGCCCTTACCTCAACCCGCTGGATTATTCGTTATGGACTTAGAGCTCAAGGCCTGCCGAAAGTCCCACCAGGAGTCACTGAAGCGAACCCTTGTTCGAGAAGCAAAGCGAATACCGCTAGATAAGATTCGTGCCGCCATTGATGTCTGACTAAATAGTCTAAGGGCCTGTATTACAAAAAAGGGCTATAAAATATACATTTTATTGTTGATTATTATCTATTTAATGGTTACTGAAATATTATAAAATAAGTTAATTATTAAAAAAGTTACGCAACTTTTTCCTCTCAGAACTTATGAACACACGAGGTACTTATACTGTATAGTAATTATATAGTATAGTAAACTTACACCTATATGACGGCAGCAAAACGGCAAGCCACATATTTTGTCTAAGGTGTAGAGTTTGTAAATATGCTTGTACAGTTAGGGCATGTAGAGTAAGAAGTTTGGTTCTACATATTACTTATGATCTGAAAACTTTATGACGGTGCGAGCCATATAGTGTCATCGTACCAACATTTTTCATTAAATGTTTTTGGTGGTATTTAAAGAAAAAAAAAAAACAGAAATTAGTTCAATAAAGAATATAAATTTTGTAGAATTACATTGTCTTTTTTTATATGATGATAGTATAATTGCCGTAGTACACAAGCAGATAGTACAATGACCAAAATGCAAGTAGTGAAGATTCTATTGAGATGAGATTTTCACGTAAACATTAGCAGAATATGCCTGCAATGATTTTACCTTCTGCCGTTCATGCTCATATATCCATCGTCTTCGGAGGTGTGGCCGGCGAGTGGCGAGTCGTCATCCGTGGCGGGCGTTGCCGGAGTAGCTGGTGTGGCCGGGGTGGCGGAATTCGCGGGAGGCGGCGCGCGCGCCTCCAGCGATGGCAGCTCACCTCCTTCGTCGTACTCACTTAGCACTTGATCGAGGAGCTCCAGTGACCGCTGTACATCGTCGCACCCTCTGCAAATAAAAAAAAGACATATTTATAATGAGGTGCTAAAGGCTGCCGTGTCAAGCACATCTCATATATGTTAAGGCGTTCGCGTAATGTTAATTGTAATTAAACAAACAAAAGGAAGCCCAAGGATGCGGTGAGATGAATGGGGAAGTCGGCACACGGGCCGAACGATCATTTAACTAGCTCGCGCCAGTTAAAGTAGTTATAACGCATATCTCCAGCAAATTCAGTTGCCGGAGATAAATCGGATTAGCGATCAGAACCTTTACCTCGAAGTCGTCCGTGCTTCAAAACACGTTAAACCGTTGGTCTAGGATGTAGCTGTACCGTCGTTTACATCATTCATTATACATTGATGACTTCTTCCTATTTGATGTCTAACATAATATAATGAATACTATTCTATACGTACACGCTAGAACACCTTTTACTTATTCTAATAAGAGAAGGAATTTTCATGTTTGTCAAACACCTAAGATAAATTTTACATTTACAAAAAAAAATATATATTTCTCGGTCCACACTTATATAATAAAATCAATAAAATTATACAACATCACAATCTATCATATTCATGCTGTAAGAAATTAATCTACAGCTGGTTACTCGGAACGACATATGAAGAAACGGAAAAACTTCTAACAGTAATATTCTGACATAATATTATACACACATACACAACATTTGCACTCTTTCACCCACACATAAACACATACATGCTCACACACACACACACACCCTCCCACCCACCCACACACACACACACACACACACACACACACACACACACACACATACACACACACACACACACACACACAAAATACCTGATTTTAAGTGAACAATGTTGGTTAATAATTAAATTTGTAACTATCAGTAATAATTATAAGTAACCTTACATTTATCGTAACTTAGTGCAATCTGCTGCTCATACTAAAGTGAATATAGGGAAAGGAACTGAATCCCTAAATACAGATTATTTGTATAATCTATTAGGGTCAGTTGTGATTTATACCGCCTATAATAATTGCCTTATATAACTAATTACCTTAAGACCTGCATACCATCTGTTCAAATGTATGTTTTATTTTTATTATTTTGGCATGAATAAAGAATTATTATTATTATTATATTATCAATAAGTTTCTTGTCTATTTATAAGGCATTGTATAATGCCTATTCTAATCTAGTATCGACTAGTTGTTTATGTAGGACAATTTAGGAGACCATTATTATTATTAAATCTACTCCAATTCGTAACCCTACAATATCCGCAACGGTTTTCTAGTCGGCTTGTCATACTTAAATAAGATGATAACAAGTAGCGGCTAGCGAGGCGAGGTCGCGGCATTCAATTCGCCGAGATAATGGTAAATTGCACTCATTTCCTTCGTGAGCGCTGTTCGCTTCGCCCAGAGAATACTTCCCATAGCAGCAGCCATTACTACTGAATTAGAAATTACAATATTGTTATTTCATATTTCGATTCGTGTAATCATCTTTATGCTATTATTATTACTTAAATATTTAGGTGGATGCTCAATATGAATAAAATTAATAATAAGCTCCACATGTAAGAGTAGCCTGTCATTCTACCGAATCATGTATAAGTGAAAGTTTTCGTGCCAAAAAATAGTTTCAGATTAATAACTTATTAATAGATCATTAATAGCCGAAGAAACGGAAAGAACAACTGCGAATTGCTGTTATTAGGGTACCGTTGTAAACAAGGAACCCTTATAGTTTCGCCATGTCTGTCCGTCCGTCCGTCCATGGTTTAACTCAAAAACTATTGGTACTAGAAAGTTGTAATTTGGCGTGACACGTTAATTACGCCAACAAAGTGATAAAGTGGAAATTAAAAAAAAAAAAAGTTAGTACCTACCCTACATGAAAAGTATGGCGTTTCAATTTAGATAACCGTTTGGATTTATTAACCTTTCAAGAGCTAATTTTCGTTAGAGTTAAGTGTCCCCCCCCTCTAAATCGGTTGTTGGTAAAAATCCAAACGTTATGGTAGTAGTACCTATAAACTCGTATAATGAAGTTAAAAGGAAAATTATCAATCTTAAGTTGGGTTTAAAAGTTTACGAGTAATAGTCGTAATTGTATTTAACTCGAATATTTTGAACAACTCCATAGAAAACAATAAATGTTTTCTTTACAATTTTTAATGGATAATGGTACAGAACCCTTCGTGCGCGAGTTCGACTCGCACTTTCCAGGTTTTTGAATAAAATTATGTTCATACTTTATATCTGGGCGGTAAAATAAAATGGTCGTTATTTTGCAAGATTAACACGTGAATATATAGTCATAAAATATAGTTAGCGGAAGTGGAACGTGCTGCAGTGAGAATTCATTATGTTTAAAGGCAGATTGTCCTTAGCGGCCGAGTGGTCCTACAGGCAGCCACAAAGCAGCCCTTTTGATACGAGAGGTGCTCGCGACTCTCGATAAGCTCTCGCTGAAAGGAGTGGGCGTCATATTTGTTCAATGGAACTACCCAATAAAATATTCCGAAATGTATAGTTGCTTCCAGAAACATTTACTTTCGCAAGCATTTGCACCTATTAGTTTTCTTTTTGTTTTAGGGCTTTTGCGATACAAATCGCAAAAGCCCTAAAACAAAAAGAACTACCTAGCAGCCTGTATAATAAAGCCATATTTGTGATTCGAATTTTATTTAGTACAATCGGTAGTGAACAACAGATGTTTTATAATTCAAAACAAAAAGATATTCTATTTCTTATTTAATTTTCACACGATTTTTGATATGACGTGCCTATAATATCAGAATTCATTTTGTATTCGCCAATGGAATACAGGTATTATTAAATTGAAAAGCCAATGATTTTAGAGGTGATCGCCTTCTGAGGTCGGTCCCAATGCCGTATCGAGAGTTCATTAGTGAGCCCACTAATGATCCAGCGCGATTCACAGATTGGGTTCAATTTCTTTTTATCGTTTCCTCAGGAAATATCGAATATAAAAATTGGACGCTGGAGAATAATAGGACCAATTCGAAGAGCGTGGATGTTATCGAGATCGGGGCAAGTATTTTATTTTTAAATGTAAAAGGTAGCCTGATACAATTTTAAAATTTTACTCGAGAAACCTTTTTCGAGTTGATGGCGATACGCTAAAATGAATTTAAATTTAATTTCGGAATAAAACATTTATCCACTCATGCGATAGTAATACTTTTTTGTTATCTAACTACTAAGATCATTAGAGTACTCGCGGTTATTCGTACTTGCTAACTTAATTTTATAAAATACTTGCTGTTTTCCTGTGACTTCGCCCGCGTAAATTATAGCTTATTTCCCCCGCATATGCTTGTAGCTTCCCGTTGGTGAAATTTTTTTTCAAATCAGTCCATTAGTTTCAGACCCTATTAAATGCAAATAATCAAATCTTTCCTTTTCATAATATTATTTTAAATACAAAAACATTATCGCAAAAAGCAAAACCGATCGAATTCAAGCATATGCTCACATTGAAAATAAACACGAGTTTGTTAGAACTACTAACTTTTGTAATAAGGCATGTTATGAAAGGTAGGCAACTTAGCTATTGCGTGTGCATTTCTTATAACACCGGCAACAATATCGTACCATACACCGCAAGACTGGCTTACAACGTTCGAGTTGGGAACTCGGGAGTTTGTTGGTCTGTGTGCGTGAGAGAGAGTATGTCGCATTGTATCGTTGGGCTGCTCAAAGCGTAGCACTCAGCATGAGTGCCTGGCGGCGCGAGCCGCGTGCTGCCTTTGTTTTATTTCACCCACACTCCTCCGCTTTGGAAACTTTTAAGAGGAACTTCAATTGCATTTCTCCTTTGCCATCAGTTGGATGATCATTACGTATGGTACACTTTTGTAACTTATGTTAATGTTATTGAACTCTTTCATATTTTTACTTCACTTTCACTTAAGGGTATACGGTTTGTTTAAAATGTTCAGCAATTATCTGAATTATAAAGCCACTAAGGCTAACGTTTATCGTAAATTTTAAGGCACGATTAAGTTTATGTATGAGACTCTTTAAACGTCATGAATTGACGATGAATGTTACAATGAATATAAAATGATATAAAGATAGTTTCTTAACTTTCAGGTATGTTAAAATGATTAACTTCTGGAGTTAACCAAGTTTAGCACGATCCCAACAGCTTTTACAGGTGATTCATCAATGAAGTTTGAACAATCACCTTTTATTTATAAATAAACCATAGCTGTAATGGGCGATCTCAAATAATCTTGTTTGAAGGCAATAAACGTATCTAAAATAATCTCCAAGGAAATTTTGCGGTTTCTATCGTTGCTCGTAGGCCTACATCTTGATACAGCGAGGTGGGGTTGGTACTATTTATGCGGAAATGAGTGCTTCGAGGCGGAAGTGTAAAGCGCCCTCCTTGCCCCCCCGGGCATCGACCCCGTTGAGCTTATGCCTAGGCAAGCTTAGCTAGGCCCTTATCAGCATGCATCTCGGGAAAAATCACTCGAATGTCAATAATCACTCGATATCTGCATTCGTATGATGCTGACAAAATTATGCCATGTTCCGTACGTTTAAAAAAACTTCTTCGGTTAGCAGCTTTACTGCAGAGTAATATACTACTTTTTTGTTTACATCTAACTCGAGAACTAAGATTTCCCATGTAAGTCGTTAATTCAAGCTAGTTTCTGAAGTTAAAACTTGTCCAATTAGTTGAGTCGGTATTTTCGTGTTGGTAGATTTTGTACTTTGTTAGAACCTCATAAAGTGCTTATTCGTGTATTAGTTTTATAATAAATGATTACAAAAAACATTTGAGTAACCATATTTTAGGGATTCGTACCCAAAGGATAAAACGGGACACTATTACTAACACTCCGCTGTCCATAAGTCACCAGGCTGTATCTCAAGAACAGTTATTTGCACAACAACAAATACTAAAAAAGGAATATAATATATATTTGAGGAGGCTCATTAACAATACACATGATTTTTTGTCATT